TTGGATTTTTAGTTATATTGGAGAAAGGATCATTAAAATACTGGAAATCAAGAGTTGATTTTGTTCACCTCTTCTTCAGGCAGGTGTCAACTAAACAGTGTCCAAGACCCATCCCTACTCTTGTGTTTTCAAATCTTCTAGGAGGAAAATGAGAAATTTTTTGCCGCTTCATAAGTATTACACATGATGAAATTTAAATATTTGCCATAATTAAAAATTCTATATTGTCTGTTGGGACAAACCAGAGCTTGGTTGAGATGGGCTCTTACCTGTATCTGGCTATTTGAAAGACCCAGCTGGTTGGCCACCTGATGCAATGAACCAAGTCCTTGGAAAAGACCCTGATGCTGGGAAAGATTGAGGGCAGAAGGAGAAGGGGGACAACAGAAAATGAGATGGTTGGATGGCATCACTGACTCAATGGACATGAGTTTGGGAAAACTCTGGGAGATAGTGAAGGATAGGGAAGCCTGGCATGCTGCAGTCTATGGGGTCGCAAAGTTGGACATAACTTAGTGTCTGAACAATAACAAAAAGGTGTTGGCAGTCACTTCTGCTGACCTCTTTCATTGTATCATGTGTAAGTTGAAATGTTAGAAGACTCTATAAGCTCAGAAGTACTATGTTTCATGAGGTACCCTTTATCTAAAAATCCTACATTTTGTGGATCTAGAGGCTAGTGAGTCTTCTTTTAAGTGAAACTATTCTTATATTAATTTTGATAATGAATATTTGGACTGTGACATTAACAAGCTTGTTCTTCTTGTTTAGTGGCTAAGTTGTATCCCATTCTTTGGTACCCTGTGGACTGTAGCCTGCCAGACTCCTCTGTCCATGGGATTTTCCAGGCAAGAATACCAGAATGGATTGCCATTTCCTTCTCCAGGGGATCTTCCTGACCCAGGGATCAAACCTGTGTCTCCTACATTGGAGGCAGATTCTTTACCACTGAGACACCAGGGAAGCCTACTAACAAACTTAGTACTTATGAGATATATTGGGCATTTTCAATATATGTTAAGTCAGAAGAGCCCTGTTTCATGTTTGCTACATTCACTGAGTGAGTTAGGTATACAGGATTTGGAGGTTGATTTCATATTGATCCCCAGCAGTTTTAGGAGTTATACGAAAAGTGCTTTTCTGAAACTCTCCTCCCAGGCTTTTAAACTAATGTCATTCTTTCTTCTTTCTCATCATTTTTTCTTGAAGAAAACAAGTTACTTAAACATCCAGCTTTCCACTTGGAAAGTTCAGAGACTCATAAGTAACCACTTGGCTCCAATATGTATAAAAAGCCCTGAGAACTCTCATGAAACTTAAGATTCTAAAGGAAAATAAAAATTGAAAAACTCATTATAGAAGAGATAAAAAATCTAAACAGGTCAGTAACCATCCAAAAAAAAAAAAAAAAAGTAGTAAAAGTAACCAAAGAGCTACACATTATAGTAGCACCAGGCCTGGATTGCTTATTGAGTTGAATTCTGCCCAAACATTAAGGAATGAATAAATCCAATGTTATTTAAAATATTGCAGACCAAACAAAATAGGAAAACTTCCCACCTTGAACTTTGGGTCACTTTTGCTGTCTTAAATCAGGAAAGAAAATTACTAAGTCAGTCTGGGTCAGCTTTGTTGAAGACATGGTACTCTTAAAAATGCACTTACATTTCACTCATTTATCCATTTGCGTATTAAATATGTGCCAAATGGCCTCCCTGGTGGCTCAGTGGTAAAGAATCTGCCTGTAATGCAGGAGACGTGTAGGAGACACTAGTTTGGAAGATCCCCTTGAGGAGGAAATGGCAACCCCCTCCAGTATTCTTGCCTGGGAAAAACCATGGACAGCGGAGCCCAGCAGGCTAGAGTCCATGGGGTCGCAGAGTCAAGCACAAGTGACCGCAGACACACACACACAGGTGCTTGGTGGTGGTGAGAATAGGCCAGTGAATAGGGTTTTAAAAAAGGAAGAGAAACATTTACTGTCCTCGGAGCAGAGGCTTCAGGCTCCGGGTGTGGTGGGAGCCAGGCCTATGCACAGTAAGACAAGGGGATGAACGAGGAATGAGGCAGAGGTAGTGTTTTGGGTGATGAGTGAGCGTAGCCTCTAGATCTTAGAGTTTGAACCCTGACCCACCAGATGGTCAACCAAATTTTAAATCCATACCCAGCGGTTTGGATAATGATCATAGTAAGCAATCTTTCACCGTCTGAGAACCAGGAAAGGAGCAAAGGCCAGGAAATCTGGTCAGATAGATGGTTGACTTAAAAATCTCCCAGTAGGGTGATCTTTGATAGAAACTTTCATCTCCTGGGTCTAAGACCAGGTGAGCAGGGCCAGCTCTTCAGGAATTCCACTTCCTAGACTTGTCCTGTCATTTTCTCTGAATTTTGCCGAGTAAAAGAAAATCTAGGTTGAGAGGAATAGTGTGAAGGTTGAAACAGAGGAGGTAAGACAGTTAAGAGTTTAGAAAATAAAGAACAGAGACGCTACCCAATGCATAATAGCAAAGTGTTTCAGATGTGTGGAATAACCTCTTTACTTAAAAAATAAAAAATGTAGTATTGCTGATGGTGGCACAGGTTTCTAGAAGCTGTCTTTTTCAAACAGTTACGGTTGAATCACCTTTACGCTGAGAAGGAAGGATGTGGGGGCGGTGTAGGGAAAGTATAAGAGTACAGTTTTGAGTTTCTCCACAGAAAGATGGAGAGATTCTCTGATGTTTATGTTCAGTTTGAGGAGTTTAGGTGTTTTTTTAAATTTTTCACATTAAGTAAGTCATGAAATTTAAACTGTAGGCACTGTGTTAGTAATTTAGGTGAGCTGAACAGGAGTGTAACTGCCTTTTAAGGGATGTTAATGTATGCATTTGGATTGCTTGGTGACCTTTGAAATTTTGTTTTTAGCCACTGTCAAAAACATCACAATTTTTCCTCCTGAAACAGATTTTGAACACCTGCAAAGGTTGATCAAACTAGGATAGTTTTAATAAACTATTAATCTCTCTTCTTTAATGTCAACCCAGCTTTTAAAGTCACTCAGTTGTATTCGACTTTTTGCCACACCATGGACTTTACAGCCCGTGGAATTCTCCAGGCCAGAATGCTGCAGTGGGTAGCCTTTTCCTTCTCCAGATGTTTCCAACCCAGGGATCAAACCCGGGTCTCCTGCATTGCAGGCGGCGGATTCTTAGCTCAGTTGGTAAAGAATCCGCCTGCAATGCGGGAGACCCGAGTTTGATTCCTGGGTCGGGAAGATCCCCTGGGGAAGGGATAGGCTACCCACTCCAGTATTCTTGGGCTTCCCTCATGTGTCAGCTGGTAAAGAATCTGCCTGCAATGTGGGAAACCTGGGTTTGATCCCTGGGTTGGGAAGATACCCTGGAGAAGAGAAAGGCTACCCACTCCAGTATTCTGGCCTAGAGAATTCCATAGACTGTACAGTCCATGGGGTCACAAAGAGTTGGATACGACTGAGTGACTTTCACTTTCACAGCTTTTAAAACTGTTCATCAGCTACCTGAAACATCAGCTCAAGGCACTTGGGTTGATTTAATAAATGCCTTTTCCATTAAACATTCTTGTAGCCAGAATGCATTGAGAGGATAGAAAATTTTTCAGTCTTGTTCATTTACAGTCTAGTTTTCCAAATTCTCTTGTTTTTAAAGTAAGATTAATTTTATTTCCTTATTTGAACAATTATGTTGGTATTTTTTTTTTTTTACCTTTCAAACAGGGGAGATTGTTTTGAATTCTACCATCAGTCCTTCAGAATTTCAGTAAAGGATACCAACTTTAACCAAATATAATTAAATATCTAGTTTAAGTGTATCTTATCATTAAAAGGTTATTTATGTTTAAAATGCTGACCTTTCAGGATGTACACAAGAGTGTTCTAAAACAGAATTTCTGAACGTTGGCCATGAAACCACTGTCTTGGCCTGACAAATGAATTGGAAATAAGCTACCCAACACTGGGAATGGGTCATTAATTTTAATCAAAGGTGATGCAGGAAGGCGAATGGGATGCATGACAATGTCAACAGCCCAGTAGATGTTAAGAGACCACACAGCCTTCCTTGTTACTTGGTTGGGCCATTAGTTGAGGTTGGGTGAAGACAGAAAGCCATGTCTGGAATTGAATGACCAGGTCACTCCAAAATCTAACAGAGAACTGCTCATTTCAGAATCACATTGTAATGCCATTAGAAGTCAAGGACAGCTTTTAGAAAATATTGGAGGATTTTTTTTTTTTTTTAAACCTAGCATCTAGCTAGTTTTTTCCAACTTTGACAAGCTCTCTGTTTTCCTGCCTCCTTTCCTCCTGAATGGCTCATGGATATTTACAGAAGATCAAGAAATCGAACAGACTTAGAAAAAAAATCTCAAAGCCTGTTTGCTTTTCAGAATTACACATTGTTAGTTGTAAAACTCTGGTAAATGCCAGAAACAATAGCAGACCAAAGGTATTAAGCAGGGTAATTAATTCTCTGTGGGGATCTCATTGTCCCTGGTCTCTCTCTTATGTTCTTGTGTAGAAATAGTTTTACTAGTTGAAACTAAACTTTCTTAATTGCTTTAATGAAAGCATTTGTTTTATAATTGTAAAAGCCAAAGTGCTTATGCCTTACTGTAAATTGTCAGTATGGGCTTGATAACATTAGCAATATTCATGATGGTGGAAACCTTTTCTTTTAATCAGTAAGTATATTTCATTATTTTGAGTATATTTTCAATTATAAGAAAGGTAGCATATGACAGCTTGAATTAATGATGTTTATAATAAAGATATAAAAATGCAGAAGGGACAAAGAGACATTTTTATATCTCTACTTCAGGTTTGTGAAGAAAGTTCATTTATTCTGACACAGCACTGCATACATAAGAATGATATGTGTGGCTGCATTAGTAATTTTTACACATTTTTAAGAAAGAAAAGCAATTATATTGCTGTCTTGTTAATGGAATACTGTGATAAGTAATAGTATTTGTTCTTACTGTAGATGAAGATCAGCTTCGTGCAAGGGGTTATGACAAAACACCAGACTTTATTTTACAAGTACCAGTTGGTAAGTCCTTAGACTCTACTATACATTTGTTTATAAAGTAAAATGATGTGTTTTTTCCCATAACTTTTAAAATTTTTGTTAATATTAGCAAGTGTTACCAAAGAATCTGTATTAGCTTGATAATTTTGTATTCAAATGTGTGAAATAATTGCAAAAGATTTTTAAATAACAGAAAATAATAGGTTCAGAAGAAACCTAAGCTTTAAAAACTTTTACCTATGTTTAAGAAATAAACATGTCTTCAAAAGACATTTTGGTTACCATTTTCAAGTCATTTCTCTATATGGTGCATTTTTAAAACAGAGTTCTGTGGAAAAGCCAGGCTCACTTTGGTTTGCTTTTGCATTACTTGTCAGTTTATATAGGCAATCTCAGAATAGGAAAGAGACTTTTGTAAATGACAAAAACAAAAGGGATGTGACTGTAGCATAAGCGTTCTTTGTCACAAACAGATACGATGTGTTGTTTTATAATTACATCCATAGATGATGGTGAGGGTTAAGCCTCTCTTCATTAATGTGAAGCATGAGGAGAGACCCAGACAGAGTCACAATTTTCAATCTCCCCTTCCCTTTGCTCTGTATTCGTAATGCTTTGTTCCTTAGCTGTAGAAGGGCACATAATTCACTGGATTGAAAGCAAAGCCTCATTTGGTGATGAATGTAGCCACCATGCCTACCTGCATGACCAGTTCTGGAGCTACTGGAATAGGTAAGGCCCCATTATTTTTCTCTTAAGATAAACGATACTCAGCTGAAATTTCATTAGAAAAAAAATATTTTGTTTAGCTGGTAAAAATGCTGGTAGCCTTTGTTTCTAGTAAATATGCAGACTTGATTAATGTATTCATTTCAGATAATTTCAACTTCTCTGCGTTCATAATGTTGCTTCACTTTTTAAAACAAAAAATCTGTGCATGAGGTCAAAATTAGTATATACTCCGTTTTACAGTGATAATATTGGTGTCACTTAAAATATGAATTATAGGATGTGATATGTATTATATTATTGACACTGACTTTTATCCTCTTGATGTGAAAGTTATGCCTCTAAAAAAATATTTTATCCTCAGCTCTCTGAGGAAAGTATCCAAACGATATGAAAGTCAAAATGAACTACCTTCCAGTGATAGAAAAGCATTTACCTACCAACTTCAACCAACATTTCCGAAGGCATGGGGATCTCAGTGGTTAAGAAAAAGATGGTGAAAAAAAAAAAAAGAAAAAGATGGTGTTGGAGGAAGGGGGAGGATGCTCTATTACTGAGTACCCCTTCATGTGTCTGGGCCTGCAGCTCATTTCAATTAATACTCACAAGAAAGTGTGATTTGGAGATAATGGGATTTTATTCACATGATTATTTGGGATAATGGGATTTTATTCCCATTTTACAGATAAGACGCAGCTAGTTATCATGCATTGTCTTGGTCCCTTCTAAATCCATGCTATTTTTAGTATAGCTCTACTGATGTTTACAACTGTTGAAACTTTGACTTTTGCTATTATTGGAGTCCTAAGCTTTCATATCACATATTTTTTACCCATTAGACCAGAAGGTGGGTCAAAGGGTAACTTTCCTAGATTAACTGTGTTCCTTGGTACTGAACAACTTTAAGAATGCGACGGTAAGATGACATTGGTTTGGATCACTGAGGAAGGAGACAGTAACATCTGTGGGCAGTAGTCTTACCCTGGAATAAAACAGTGACAGTCTCCAGAATTTGGCATTATATTGTTACCCAGCTTTACAAAAGGACAGTGGGCCTCGCCTGTAGCAGATGTGCTAAACTAGGCCCACTTTTTGCCATGGTAACAATGATCATGACAAAATGCTGAATGTAATGGCTTTCTTGATTTTCTTGTGTAATTGTGCGTAGCATGCGAGCTTTACTTTACAGGGATGGAGGAGGAAAGTGCAAAATGTTTTAGAAATCAATGCTGCTTCAGCGTTTCCTGTCTTTTATTCAGCCATTATTCAAATTAGCAGTAATGTGGTAAATTGAATTTCAGATTTTTAGCAATTTTATGATGAGTTGGAAATAGTAAAGAAATCATCATTTTTGATAGTATAGGGAAAGCAATGACAAGAAAATCAAATTGTTTAAGTTTAGGTTGCTAAAGGATTTTTTTTTTTTTAAACTGCTAAACTCAATCATTGTGCAGCAAGACTATCTTCCCAATTTGGTACTGGTCAGGCCTTCTATGAGAAACAGAATTTGAATCCAAAATAGTAAAGCTTACTTAAAAATTCCGAAGGCATGTCTTCCTTCTAAAACAACTCAACTAGCTGTTGTCTCCTCTGTGCTCAGCCCTCACCATTTTAGAGACTTTTTAGATAATCAAATCACCTGTTTGGTAGACTGTGGATTATTCACATGGCTGGAGGGGGTTCTGAGCAATGGATGATTTAATAGTTTGATTTGGACTAGATTTTGGATTCTTTTGTTGCATGCTGCTTTTTAAATTTTAATGATGTTTTATTTATATGATTATTACTATTGCTACAATTACTACTATTAGCTTATGTTTCTTAAACAGTTTCTTTGAATGTATGCCAAGTAAGTGCACATAGTTTACTTAGGGCACGTTATATGTTAAAGGGGAAGCCAGATTACTCAAGAGGGAAATGCTCTATGCAGAAGTCACTAGTTTACCAAATGTCTGCAGAGAGGCCAGGAAAAGCAGGTAATACTGTCATTCAGTGTGGAACATAGAGGCATCTACTTGTAAGACTTGTCAGTGATGGGGCATTTTAACTGAAGAAAAACTTAGCCCATTGACCAAAGTTTGGGAATCCTACTCTTTTCATATTTTTGCCTCAACACAACTTGCAGCAGTTGCTAAAATTCCTCGGAGTTGGAAGAAATCGTCTCTCCCACCTGTAGGTAACCTTTCAAGGAGGCTGTTGGTTGCAGTTTGGGCTAATTGCTTTATTTGCGTGATAAGCCTCTAGTCAACATAAAACTGTTATGTAATGTCACATTGTTTTTAGATTTTCTTCCAGTCTTATTAGGATATAATTGCCATACAGCACTGTGTAAGTTTAAGGTGTATATACAGCATAATAATTTGACATACATACGTCACGAAATGATTATCAGAATTGTCACCCTATTTTTAAACACTGGATTCTGTGATGAGACTTTTCAGTTAACGTTTGAAAAATCATAATCTTGTCTAAGCCTATTTTTCTATATAAATAACTACAGTGCCCCTAAGTTTTAGTGTAATATTTCTCTTAAGAGTTTTCTTTTTGTGTAAATTGATATCCTTACTCACCCTATAGGCAACTCCTGACAAAGTTGACCACACCCTTCCTCTTTATTAAAGCTTTTTGTTGTTTGTTTTTGGCTTCCAAGAGATATTCTTCTGAGATTTTTTCCCTAACATTCCACCTGTATATTCTTTCTCCTTTTCTGGTTCTTCTTCCTCTTCCCAGCTCTAGGCTTGAAGGCCTTGGAACTCAGTGCTCATCCTCCTCCCTCTTTTGTCTACATATTTCCTGGGTGTTCCCTGGAGATCTCACCAGAGACTATGGCTTTATATTCCATCTGTTGCTGCCATCTCTAACTTTTACCCCCAGCCCTAAGATTCCCGCCTTGCACACATTTGTTTGTCTAGCCAGCTGTCTGCTCAGTATCCCCTCCTGGATACCTAATAGATATCTCAGACTTTACATATCCAAAAATTAAACTCTTGACTTCTCTCCTCAAGCTTATTAGCCTCTTATTTCCTCTCAAGCTCCATGAGTGGCATTGCAATATCTCCCAATACTCAAGCCCAAAACCTCAAGTATCATCACCAATTCATCAGCAGGTCCATTCAACCTTACCTTCACCACATTTCAGATTGTGCCATGTGTCACCACCTGACCTGCTGTCGCCTCACTGTCTGTCATCTTCTCTGGGACTATTACCACAGTTTCCAAACTGGTCTTCTTACATCAGCCCTTGTACTCCTATGGTCAGAGTTTCATACCCTAGGCAGAGTGACTCTCAGAAAATATAAATCAGACCATGTCACTTCCCTGCGTAAGACTCTTCAGTGGCTTCCCACCACATTTAAAATGCAATTGATATCCTAGTGGGGGGAGATGGGGTGGGAGATGGGAGGGAGGTTCACGAGGGAGGGATACATGTACACCTATGACTGATTCATGCTGATGTATGTCAGAAACCAATACAATATTGTAAAGCAAATATTTACAATAAAAAATTAAAAAAAAAATACAATCCAAACTCTGTACATGAGTGACATTCAGAGCCCTGTATGACCTGCCTCTCACCACCCTCAGTTCTGTCCACACCTGTGCTCTCCCTTCCCCTAGAGTTCTCTCTGTCTCTTAAACTTCCTTGGCAGCTTTGTCCATCTTCCTTGAATCTACTCTGCTTGTTTCTACTTCAAGAACCTCACTCTGGCTAATCCTTCTGCTTGGAACTGTCTTCACTTGGATCTCCACATAGCTTGCCCTTTACGATGACATTCAGCTCTCTGCTCAGATTTCCCCTCCTCAAGAAGACCTTCCCCAACCACCCAGTCTAGATGGCATCACCCTCAGTCATTTCTCTCCTCAGTCTACTTTACTTTTCTTCATAATATTTACCGCTACCTGAGTGAATGAATAAGACTGTAGTTAGAAACATTTAAACACAAATTTACTTGGTTTGAAAGAGCTTTGTTTACCTTTTGTGTTGCTATTTCTAATTACTACATGTGTGCAGCTCACTCTTTTATAATCAAAACTTCAAGAATTTTTTCTATCTTAATTCACTTCAAACAAATTTAAATTTTGCAATAGGCACCTTCTCTAAAATCAGATTAAGTATAGAACTTAAGCTGCCTTTCCAGCAAGTAGGCCCTCATCCCGGGTATGAACCTTGATTAATGAGCTCCTTAGAACTCTCCACTCTCCACTTCTGTGCGGTTTAAAGACTGCCTCTGAGAAGCAGCATTTGGGCCATAATAGAGCCCCAAATTATATAGGGCTATGTATATAGTTGTATAGAAAATACATGTATATTTACATATATCAGTGTATGTATATATATGTGTGTGTGTGTGTGTATGTATATCAGATATTTCTGACTATATATACATACAAATTTATGCAGTTGACAACAAAAGAAATGCCCTCTCATCCTACTTTCTAGTCAAAAGGTGGGTTCTTTGACAATTTCACCTACGTTACTAAGTATATTTTCATTTTGAGATGACGACAGGTAAAGAAAAAACTAATACTATAATCTGAGGCCAGAATATACATGGATTCTAACTTATGGCCTTTCAAAGAAGCAGAAGCAGACACCCTAAGCTCACTTTAATGGTTGAAGATAAAATGGGTCAGTTTGGATGAAAACATTGATGAACCTAAATTACGAAGAGCCACGTGCACCCATACAGCGCGTGAACAATGCCCAACAGCACTGAGTCAGGAACATGGAAATCTCATTTGTAAGCTCAGCCCTGTCCCCGGCCATTCTGGGTACATTCTGACACTGTCATCAGTGGAAATCTTTTTAAAACCAAAGTGCACTTGGTAGCTAACACCTCTCTACTTCTCTCAAAGAAGATCTAAGCTTACTGACTGGAAAGAATAAGGCAAAGCTTTGTTTGAACATGATTTTCCAATTCAGTGATCCTTGATGTAATGGGAGAAATCTATCCTGTTCTTGGATTTGAAGCCAGGCCTTGCCACTCTCTGGATCCATACCT